GGGGCTGGGGATTTAGCTCAGCGGCAAAAGCGCCTGCCTGGCAAGCGCAAGGTCGTGAGTTCAGTTTCTGGTACCAGAGAAAAACCAAAAAAAAAAAAAAAAAAAAAAAAGAAAATGGAGATAAATTCACTCACCAGAATTCCTCTTAGGACGCCCTTCTGTCCCTCTCTTGGACAGAAGCTTTCTTTCCCTCAGTAAATATATTCTGCTCTTTAAAAAAAAAAATCCTCTTAGGAAAGCACTGTATTTTGGAAGTTTCTCCTGAGAATGACATGAGACCTTCCCCTTCTTAAGAACATGCTCAGGTACAATAAAAGTTGTTTATTAATGCTTAGATAAGGGGATTGTTAACTAAAGGACCTTTTCTTGCTGGGCAGTGATAGATTTAAGGTAACTGAACTAGGTACAGAGGGTGTGGGTAAATGGATTGTACATTGGACAAGAAGGAAAAAGGAGCTAAGGTGGCTGAACCCTGAGAGGGAAGAACAGAAGAAAATCTGCTTAGAAGGGACTTCTGAGAACAAAATGTCTAACAGAATATACAATATGAACCCTTCTCCAATTTTTACACATCTTCAGTGAAGGTCTTATTTTTCTTTGATGTGTTTGTGTAGGTAGATTCTTTGGAGAGAGCTTGAAGAGATGCTGAGTTTTGTATCAGGAAGATGTTAATGCGGAGATAAAATATGTGAACACACACACAAAAACAACAGAAGTTAAAGAGATAGGTGACAGTTCAATGATACAAACAGCCTGCTGCAGCACACGTACCACCACCACTGGTCTAGGCACAGTCTGAGCTTGAGCAACAACAAATAAATGAGAAAGCATACTCCACTTGTAATCGCCCTAATAGGAGAGGTAAGTCAAAGAGCTTCTCTTGTCAAGAGTCTAACACTTAAGAGGCAGAGATACCTGGAAGGATGAAGAAACTGCATATAATCAACTGCCCATTTACACAGCCCTTTTATCAAGCCAAACATGAACTAGAGAGAAACATTTGTTGGGATACAAAATAACCTCAATTTATGCATTTGGACCATGACCAGTTAGTTCCTAAGGATATCTTAAATTCATTATATTCAAATCTAGTCATGAAAAATGTACAAAAGTTTCAAATAAGGCAGTAATGGATCAGCCTATCTGCAGCACAGCCTTGTGGTTAAGAGGGCAGAACAGGTTGGAGTCTTGCCTCTAGCATGTACTGACTGTGTGATTATGTCCCCAGTTCACCCCACTTCATTTTTCAAGTTGGGGAGAGAATTCCCTTATCATTGATGGTTGCACAACTTTGTACATTAACTAAAAACCATTCAACTGAATGCTTAAAGCAAGTAATTTTATGGTATGTAAATTATATTTCAATGAAGCTGCTTTTTAAAATAGTACCCACAGCAGAGATGCTGTGAACATAAAAATGTAAACTGTCAGGCACTGTGCCTGGTGCATATAAATAATAAATATTAGTAGTCAGTATTATTGTTAATAGACATTATAGAAAAATGAAGATATGTAAAGTTTGACTTTTACAATAAGAAATTGAAACTTCAGATTGAAACTTCAGATCATTTAGTTCAACTCTCATTTGACAAAATTATAGACCAGCAGTAGAAATGCCTTATTCAAGGTCCAGCTCAGAACAGACCCTAGGCCTGCTGAATACTCATTAGTGCAATTCCCATTACCATACACTGCCTGAAAACACACACACATGAAAAATAGATGTGTCTCCTTAAAGGACAGGTAACATGTAGAACACTAAAAAAAAAAAAAAGAGAGAGAGAGAGATGTTGTAGAAAGAAAATCCAAGACCATTAAGCAAACCAAGAAAAGGCTGTCACATCTGGGCCCAGCAGCAAGGACTACCACTAGTGGGGTCCAGATTATGAGAGATGAAATGCTTTGGCAAGGTCATGCCCCCACTTAGATGAAATGGCTCATCCCTTTGGCCAGAGATCTGGTAGAGGTGAAACTGCAACAATCCTGCTACTTCCTGAAACACCAGGACCTGGGACCAAAATGAATGCACAATTCTTGGGCACAGTCACTCTGAGCAGCTCAAAGTACAGATAGCTGCTCAGGAACCCTTTCTGCCATGCTAAGTAGGCTGGCCTCCACTGTTTATACCCCAACCTTACCTAATCAGCCCCTCTGGATTCTAAGCCCTTCACTTACAATCTTGTACCTTGTCTGTCAGTTTCCTCCTTCATGGCATCCTCTCAGAGGAATGAAGACACCTACCAAGAGAAGGGAAAATAACCATGCTTCCTACTGTTTCATTAACCTTGCCATCTTCTGAGGGAACTTGACAGCATGGCTGGAAGATTTTGAAGCTAATAAAAGCTTACTAAATCATTCCAAGACTAAATAGTGGACAGAAGAATAAAGTATATCTTCTAGGTCATGACTTTCTAAGGCTTTAGGGGATAATGTTCAATGCATCAACTTTGTAATTCTTATGAGGTTACCACCTATCTCCCCACTTTTCATGAAGATCAACACTTTAGGCTAGATGGCAGGTACAGACCCCTAATGTCGTATGATCCAGGGGGAGGAGGAAGAAAGGGAAGAGGAACAGAGAATTAAGGCTGAAACAGCTTTTATGATTTAACTCAGTACACTGAAATGTCTCCATGAATAGTTCATAAAAGTGCCTCATCCTTTTAAAACAACTGTTAAAATAAAAATCCGTGGAACAGAGGAGGTTCTGTCCACTCATTTATCTGAGAACTTGGGGTGCAGATTATGAACAAATAAATGTCTGACATCAGCCTTTCCCCAAAAGGCTTTCCTGTTTTGTAGATCATTCCATACAGTGAACACTCTGATGTCGGAGGAGATGAGAGCTCCGACTAAAGGTCTTCTGACACTCTTGGCATTCATAAGGCTTCTCTCCAGTGTGAATTCTCTGATGTATAATCAGTTGGGAATGCTGGCTGAATGTTCTGTCACACTCATTACATTCGTAAGGTTTCTCTCCAATATGAATTTTCTGGTGAAGCAGCAGCTCGGAGTTATCCCAAAAGGTTCTTGCACACTCATTACATTGATGAGGTTTCTCTCCAGTATGGATTCTCTGGTGGACAATGAGATGAGAAGTCCGCCTGAAAGCCTTCCCACACTCAAAACATTCATAGGGTTTCTCTCCAGTGTGAATTCTCTCATGTCTAAGAAGTTCTGAATTCCCCCTAAAGGCCTTTCCACATTCTTTGCATACATAGGGCTTCTCACCAGTATGAATTCTAATATGTCTAATAATCTCTGAGTTCTGGCCAAAAGTTTTGCCACACTCATTACATTCATAGGGTTTATCCCCTGTGTGAATTCTTTGATGCCGGATAAGCTCAGAACTCTGACCAAAACCTTTCCCACATTCATTACACAGATAGGGTTTTTCTCCTGTATGGATTTTCTGGTGTCTAATGAGGCCTGAGCTATGTTTGAAGGCTTTGCCACACTCATTGCACTCATGATATCTTTCTTCAGTATGAATTCTCTGATGCTGAATAAGCTGTGAGCTAACCCTAAAGGTCTTCCCACATTCATTACATTCATAAGGTTTCTCTCCAGTGTGGATTCTCTGGTGTAAAATCAGGGCTGAATTCTGACTGAAAGCTTTACCACATTCTTCACATTTATAGGGTCTCTCTCCTGTATGAATTCTATGATGGTGGATAAGATGGGAACTCTGGATGAAAGCCTTTCCACATTCATTACAAGCAAAGGGCTTCTCTCCAGCATGAATTCTTAGATGCCTTCGAAGGCTTGAGTTAGTTCCAAATGTCTTTCCACATTCTTTGCATTCAAAGGGCTTTTCGCCACTGTGAACTCTCATATGCTGGATGAGATGTGAGTTCTGATTAAAGGCTTTCCCACATTCTTTACATGTATGAGGCTTTTCTCCCACAGATGTCCTTTGTGTTTTGTTAGGTTCTAAATTCTCTATGAAGTTTTGGCCAGAGATAGCAAAGGTACTAACCCTCTGTGCAATAGCATCTCCCTGATATGTCATCAGATTTGGGCTGGGACTGCAACCTCTCTCACTCTCACTATTCTCCTGGTCTTTCTCACTTGAAGGTGACTTCTTAAAGATAATCAACCCTGATGTAAAGTCCTTCTCCTGATGAGACTGCTTCATAATCTCTTCTGAGGACTCTTTCAAATGTCTCTCTAACATGTCTTCTTCACATGCCACTCCAAACTCACGACCTTGGTAAATCACTCTTGGAAATTTTTCTAATGTTGGACCATATGGCTGAGATTCTTCAGAAATTTCTTCCTTGGGAATCACCTTCTTGTTCTCAGTCCCCATCTCACAATCTGAAATGAAATAGAGGAAATATATGAACTAGCTGTATTCTAGTACACAAAGCTAATGCAAGCAGAGTACAGAGTTTTGGTATAGTACTAGTAACACTCAAAAACAACCTTGCCATCTGGTGCAGTAACAAGATGCTGCTGTGAAGATAGAGATTTATGATTATGATGGACAATCTAAAGAGCATATACAGACTAAAAAAGAGAGAAATGATTGGAGGAAAAAATTTGAGGGCAGGAATAGAAAAAATTTGAGGGCAGGAATGGAAAATAGAAAATAGAAAATAGAAAAAAATTGAGGGCAGGAATAGAAAATTAAAGAGTTGCTGATACAAGTCCCATAAAACAGTGAGTAGAGTCAAAGCTAAAGTCGGTTGGTTGGTTGGTTTTTGTCTTTTCAAGACAGGGTTTCACTATGCAGTTCAGGCTGGCCTTTAATTCACTTTATACCCCAGGCAGACCTCAAACTCACAGCAATCCTCCTGCTCCAGCCTCCTGAGTGCTGGGATTACAGGCATGTGCCACCACATCCAACTGGAAGCAAAGGTTGGTAAAGAAAACATTCAAGGAAAATGATAACCGAAAGGGATGAGTTAATAGAAATCATATTTGGATTTATAGACAAAATAACCACAAAATAAGTGGCAAAAAGAACTATTCTTAGTCTAATTATATGGTTCTCACCAGCTCTATAGACCAGAATGTAGTATGAGTATGGGTGTCCCCCAATTAAAATGTTAATGTGACTTAGCACAGAAGTAAATACACTTAGCTCCCTTTACTTGGATGAAGTAAGGGTCTAGTTTTAATTTTTCCAGATGACTAGTGAATTTTCTCAATACCATTACTAAATAATTTTTTTGCTGACTGATTTAACATGCTATCTCTACCATAGTTAAATATATATATTATATTTCTGGATTCCATTCAGTTTGCTTATCTAGTTCTTCTCTAATACTAAACTATTCAACCTGCTGAAGCTTTATTAAAAATTGAATATATATTAGAGAAAGGTATCTGTCATTAGTGTTCTTTTTATATATTTGTTTATTTTCATATTTTCCCAAATAAATTTTAGTGTAGTTTTGTAAAATTTCCAAATTTAGTCTGATTTTGTTTTTATGTCCATCCAGTCTCTGGCTTTTCATTTAGCCAGTATTTCTTATATTTTCTAACTGGTTATTTTTATATACAACAGTACTGTTGATCCTTACATATTAATTTTGAAATCAGCCCTTTTATAGAATTTTCTTAATAATTTTATAGTTTGTTTTGTTTTGCCATACTGGTGATTGAACTCAAGGCCTTTACACTGAGCTACATCCCCAACCTGTTTGTTTGTTTGTTTGTTTGTTTGTTTGACAGAATCTCACTAAGTTGATAAATTGTCCAGGCTAAGCTGGAACTTGTGATCCTCCTGTTGCAGTCTCTAAGAGTGATGGGATTACACTTGTGCTATCATACCCAGCTTTTTTATAGCTCTGAAAGGTAAACTTTTCAAACTTTCTAAAGAGCTATGAGAGATATTTTAGTTGCCAACCTTAATATCTATGTTTCCCCATCTCTTTACAACAGAATAATAATTTATTTAGAGTGGCAATGAACCTAGCTCATGAAATACATTTGTCACCTTTCTTTGAGTTAGTTTTGGTCATATAGCCAAATTCTGGATAATGGATGGTGAGATGGAAATGAAAGCACATAGGAAATCTCCTTAATGTTGAAGATAAATATTTCTTTACTTTCTTCCTCCCTGCTATTCCTGGATCATAAGTACACCAGCATGCCAAAAGATCTGGCATCAGAGACGGATGGAACCAAGGGTCCCTGGTGACTCTAGAGTTCCCATATCAGTCCTGGAATCTCCCCCTCTGGGATTCTTTTATCAAGAAAAAAGAAGAAAGAGAGAAAAAAAGAAAGAAAGAAAGAAAGAAAGAAAGAAAGAAAGAAAGAAAGAAAGAAAGAAAGAAGGAAGGAAG